GAATAACGCAGAATTTTAAGCCACTGGGGGGATGCTACAGGGAGATAAACATCCGTTCCTGGTTCTTTTGCCAAACTGCCTGTGAGATGTAAACAAAGTTGGTGTGTGTTTAAGCCGTAGCTGTGTGACTGCATCTCCACAGGAAAAAAGGCTCATTTAGGATATCTTGAAACAAGAAACACCTGTTAGAAAATCAGCACATGCAGAGGAAATAACATCCAAATATGCACATGCTGTTGGGGCATCATACACATTTACTTCAAAAGATTGGGTCTGGGTTGGGGGAAATTTTTGGACTGGCCAGAATTCATACTCTCTCTGATGTCCTGGAATGTAGACCTGGAGGAGTTCCAGGAGCAGCACAGGCCGCTTGGAATATGCGGTATCATCCTGCCTCTGCACTGTCTTTATCTTCAGAGCTAATGCAGAGAAAACTATTTTTGTTAAAAAGTGTTCTGTTGATGGCTCTCTTAAGCATATGTCTTGTGCTAAGAAGCATAGTTTCTGTAGGAAAGGAGAAGGGTCTTAGAGTCTGCTTTTAAAAAGTGCTCTTGCTTAAAGCAAGGAGTCCATTGTCTTGCAGTAAATGCAATACAGCAGAGTGATAGTCATCCATCTTTTATTCAAGTTCTGGGAAGAGATCTGCTAAATTCCACTTTTAAATAAAATGCACCAGTAAACTGCAAAACACCAAATAAGAGTTTATGAACCAACATCTTGTCCAGCTGATTACTTAAATCACTTTGAAACACTGACTATGGTAAAACTGTTACTGAGTGAACCCTACTTAGCTTGTGGATGAATGGGTGTGGGGGGCTTTATGAGAGAGGTTTATTTAGCTTATTTATACACTTACATATAGTGTATGTAAAGGTGGTCTGGAGAAGGCAGCGTGGCTTTTTAGCCTTCCATGTGGTCTTACCTGCTCTGGTGGCCTGTTGAAGATGCTCACTTATTTTTTTCTATAGCCAAAGGCTCTTCTACTGTCCCCAATTTTGATCCAGTGCTCTCTTTTCCAGATTTGATGGCCGGGTGGTGGCAAAGCTTCCATTTATTCCCCTCTCTTACATCCAAGGTCTCTCCCACCGCAACCTTCTGGGTGAAGATTACACTGACTGTTCCTTCATCTTCCTCTACATTCTCTGTACAATGTCAATCAGACAGGTGAGTACATTGCTGTGTCTACTGCATGCAGGGAAAGCACGTCTCAATCCATAAAGAGGAGTCTATTACTACTGTTCAGTTTTGCATGTATAATTTTTGATCTGTTTTGGGTTTCCATGATTGTTTATTCTTATGCTTCATAGCCAAAGCAATTCTAGGTTGGAATCAAAACCAGCCACTGTCCTGGATGGGTGTGGAAGACTTGACTGGAGGTTTACACCAGGGCTCTAGGACAGAGTTAGCAGAAATGGGTTCCTTACTTTTGTGTGTTTGTCAGATAACTTTGCAGATTGCCATACCAAGAGATTATCTCCATGAGCAGATGGAGAACAGACAGTCTAAGAACTGCTTCTTAGTAATAATGACTTTTACAGTAATGTGGGAAAAGAGAAGTGTAGCATCTTCAGGGGAAACTTTGTCTGTGGCTTGAGGTTCTGTAAAGATTAAATCAATCCACAAAATTGCTGGGAAAGTGAGTAGAGTTAAACCTGTTCTTTTTGGATTTGCCCTTTCTGGTTTTGGTAATTGCCTGATTTTTTTTTTTTTAATTTTTTTTTTTTTTTTTTTAAATCCCCCGCCCCCACCCCGAGTCTTAAGGACTTTACCTTTGGTGTCAAGTCTTTCCTAGTGTTAGGGATGTGATACAGAAAGGGAGTCTGGTATGATAAGCCAAGAGTAGGCTACACATAGTTCACCAGCAAAGCTAGTTAGTCTTACCTTTTCAAAAGAGCAGCATCAGTGAGGATAAGGGAGGTGCCTGCTCAGGAAGGTTCCCAAGCAGCTTAAGTGGCATAATGGCCAGTGAGGACAAGTGGATCTTCTCATTGCAACTGGACATTTACTTTGTTTTCCAGACTTCCTCAGAGTGCTGGGGATAAGTTAATAGGCTCTGGGGGCTGGAGAATGCTGGTGAAACCAGCTGAATATTATCTGTTTTTCTGTATTTATATTTCCTTTCAATTTTGATTCACTTCCTGAATTCTTGCTGCTTTTCTCCTTGGCTGACTTGTTGCTTTTCCTCAGAGGGGGTGCCAAGGGATTTAGAAAGACTTAAAGGAGATACATAGAGGGAAGTGACATGTTATGCCAGCTGCTGTGAGAAGTTTGGATGAATTTGATGGAACAGCTTGGTAGTAGAGCGTTCCTTTAGTCACAAAGTGCGTACTAGTGAATGTTGTTATTGGGTGCTTGTTTTGAAATGAATCTCTGTCTGGTCTTATGCGAAAGCAGATAACAAATTACAGAATAGTTGATGTTGAAAGGGTCACCTAGAGGTCATCTGGCTCACACCTCCCTCCAAGCAGGGGCTAACTTCAGAGTACCAAAGGCCAGGAGCTTCCTCATCTGGTTGCTGCAAAACAAATCTTGTTTCCCTTCCCAGTGTGAGGGGGAGTGAAGGGAGCAGTGTTTGCTGCTTTGAAAGAAATCAGACTTTTTTACCTCATGGGATCATCTTCCTGAATTTCTGGGATGCTGTGGTCTGATGCTGTTCCTTCAGGCAATCTAGTCTGGTGCTGCTCTGTGTTACCTATTAATGGAAAGACCCTTCTTTGCAATGTTGCGGATTATTATATGAAACTAGCACTGTCAGCAAGATTTTTCTTTACCCACTGGGTTGGTTGGGGAACTCCCGTGCTGAAATCCCCTGTGGATGGTTTTGTTGTTGGTTTTGGTTTTTTGGGGTTTTTTTGTTTGTGGTTTTTTTTGGGTTGTTTGTTTGGTTTTTTTTGGTGGTTTTTTTTTTTTTGTTTGTTTGGTTTTTTTTGTTTGTTTGGTTTTTTTTTTCCCCAAAAAATATAATTCTTGTGGTTAGTTATGGTCCTGGGCATTTCCTGATGTTTCCTATTGTGAAATCCATAGATGGCTTGAACTGAGTGGTGGTCCAGTCTGGCTCTGGGCAGAAATGCCAAGCTGTTTGCAGTAGGTTGGGCTTTCAAGAGTGATTCCAGGAAAAAATTGTCTTTGTGCTTTAGAGTTCACGTTCCTGGTCCTGCAGAGAATAGAAGTTACTTTATTGCTTTGGAGAATGGTATTTTTGCTCTGAAGTGTTAGACTGCAGACTTCATAGTGCTGCCTAATCTATGTGATCATGGCTAATGATACCTGCAGTTCTCCAGCTGCTAGGGCAGCTGGGTTTCTTCCCTCCTACTACATGGAGGGAAGAGCAGAGACCAGCCACAGTTTGTGCAAAAGGGAGGAACTGAAGCTGTGATTGCTGGCATCTGCTCTTGGCTTTATTACTATTTGAAAGAACTTGGGTGATAACAGCATGGGGAAGAGGACTTTGAAGGGGTGTGAGAGGCCAGGGGAGAGAGGAAGAAAGTAATTAAGGGCTTAAAATGATTCCAAAGACTTGCTTTTGGTGGTTTTAATGACCTTAAAGCTGAAAGCTTTGTGACTTTTTGTGTTTCACTGTGTGGAAAAGGAGAAATCTCACCTGCTCAGCTTTGAAACAGCTGTTAGCCCAAGGGAGGAGACTTGATGTGGGAGTTAGTGTCTGGCTTGATGCTGCTGACACAAGAGGAGTAGTGGACATGTACCAAAAGTCAGGGAACAGATTGTGAACAAACTAAGGAGACCATATATTCTTCAGCCTTCCCTTAATTCTTGGAGCTGCCTGTGAAAGGATCAAGGATAGAGAAGAGAGAGGTACCTGTGAAACTCAGAAGTAGAGGAACTTATGTATGTGGAAAAAAGTGACCTGGAGGAAAACTCAGGGGAGTACATGAGCATAGGGAGACTAACTGGACGGTGATTAAAATTACATCGGTGGGATGGGCAGTAGCAGCATCAGGCAGACTCTTCGTGCGGTCCTCAGGCATGTGGGGGATGATAAACTCTTCAAACACTGACTGGGAAGCTTGCTGCCTGTGACCTGGCCAGCATCTCCTGAAATAGTCAACTCACCGTGAGTAACTTCCTTTGCGCTGTTCCCAGCTCTCCCTGGCACGTAAATCCTGTCCCCTAGTTCCTCCTGCCTTCCTGTTTGGAGAGAGGAGGGTTGCTGGGAGAGGCCCTTCAAGGGTCCTTGAGCTATTGGGTTTCAGCTGGGAAAGGCTGCGGCTTGGCTGGGCAGGAGGCATAATGTCAGGATTACATCCTCTGTCCCTGTTCCCGTTTCTGAGCTCCCAGCTTTCACCTGTGCTGTTTGTGAAGAGGGATAAGTTGCTGTTCCTTAGGCATTTGCTGGTCTTCATTTCCTTTTCACACATGCCTGAACTGTGGATTAGGCTGCTTCTCTCTGAAATGCCTTCCTGGTGGGAAGGGGAGTCAGCAGTTATTCCTACTACCAGCAGTGCACTTTCCCACAAGGCCTGATCTTGGGGCAGGGAGACAGTTGCTGCCTTGCTTTAGAGTCCCTTCTGGGTTTTAAGACAAAAGCAGAAGCAGCTCCTGTCCTTCTTGCAGTCATTTGAGGAAAGAGCAGAATAAGTTAGATGGGGAATTTGGATCCTTAAGTCTTGCAGTCTTCCCTCCTTACTCCTGAAGGCGGTGGCCTCGTTTGTGTTGAAAGCAGACTCTGCGGACTGCCTTGTGCAATATGGTTCACAGGTTTCTGCTGGACTTTGCCCCAGCCCTGGTGCTTCCAGCTGGGTAGAGTTCAGGATTGCTGACTTGCAAAACTTGCTTTGCAACTGGTGCAGGAACCTAGCTGTCTTCCACAGCAAGGAGGGAGATGACTATGGAAAGATAATGCAGGAGAGTTGACTGTGGTCTTGAATCCATGTACAGACAAGCTGTCATTTCTCTTCCTCATGGAACTGTTGAAGCAGATGCAACTTAAACTTTTTAGCAGTACAGTTCTCCTCTCTTGATACTTAAAGGAACAGGGAGGAGGCAGTGCACACTTCCTTTCTTCCATGGATGCTGTTCTAGGAGCTCTAGTGTTCTCTTCAAGTGAGGCAGTACAAACCTGGTAGGATCCTGGTCTTGCCTGCTGCTGACTCTGCAGCACCCTCTGGTGTTGCTGGATCCATGCCTTAGCTGCTTTTGGTTTCTCCTTTCTGTCCAACTCTTGGCTAAGTTGGAAGCTCTGAGTAGAGGAACCACACAAAGGAGTCTAGCACAGTTAAATGCCCTAATATATATTCAGTTGCTGAGTATCAACCAGTGGCTGATTAATGTATGCCATGGACTAGACTTGATGTAATTTTTTGTAGGTGTTCCCCTCTTTTACTTTCATGCTTGTGTGTGGGCTGAAACCTTCCTTTCCATAATCTCCACCTGGAACAATTCACATTTTTGGTTGGTTGGTTGGTTTATTTACTTTGTTCTCCTTCCATACCAAAAAGTTCAAGAACTCTATGACCCTGCTATCTGACTTATCCTGACAGTTATTTTTGAGATGCCACTTGGATTTGAAGAGAATCCTTTTTCTTCTTTTTGTTGTCTCAATAGCCAGAACTCAGCTGGTGACATGAGGAGGACACAGTTGTTTTCTTCTTTCTCTTGCACAAGATGTCCCTGTAATGCCAGCACTGTATGAGCAGCATTTTGAGCTGTAGTTACTTACATGAAGGATGACACTGAAAAAACTTTTAGCTCTTTAAATTTTGCAATAGTGCAACTACAAAAGAAATTTCACAAAAAGGGAGAAAACTATCAAATTTAAATCTCAAATTTTTAGTTAATGCCTGCTACTTAAATCTATCCTTGTTTGTTGTTTTCCACTGAAACATCCTGCTCAGATGCAGATGAGGTCATCTTAACAGTCAGGTTTTGGGTTTTGCTACATATGCCCTGTTACACTGCATGTCTCCACTGAACCATTGTTCAGTTTGCATCACTACCATTCATATTAATTCTTTGCCTAAGCTCCCGACCTGAACTTGGCACATGCTCTGGTTGCCATGTTGCTGACCCAAATTCTGGCTGCATTACAAGAGAGCTTTCCTCACCAGCTTGCAGACCCTCAGGCTCTGATGGCTGCTATTAACAGTGGTTTCTGGAACTTGTGAAAACTGAGGGCTGATTTGGTTCTGCCTCTGAGCAGATGTTTGGCACCCGTTCCTGTGTGTACACTGCAGTTAAGTTGCAAAGATAAATGTTGTATGTTGTAGGTTCATCTTAAACCAGCCCATGTGCAAAGACGTTAACAAGGTATCTGCCAACTGACTGTGGTGTGTAGCAGAGGTAGAAAAGAAATGTCGTCTAAAATACAGATTTAATGATCAGAAGGCATTTGTTGAGGTGGGGAAGAGTGGCCCAGCTCTAACTGTAGCTGTTGTGGATGATGGCTATCTGACTCTGTGCTGAGCTTTTTTGAATACATAAGGATAGAACTGCAATATATATATTAGCCAGATTGGTAAGGCTGTATGGGTAAGAACCTGAATCTCTTGAAACTAGTGGCAAGCTGTATTTGTAAGAGTTAGGATTTCTGCTTTGTCTCCTTTGTCACAGTCTGACGCTATCCTGGTCTTCTGCTCTTGTTCTTGCAGAACATCCAGAAGATGCTCGGTCTCGCTCCTTCCCGGGCTGCCACCAAGCAAGCAGGGGGCTTCCTTGGCCCACCACCTCAAGCAGGAAAATTCTCCTAAAGCACAGTTAACAACCTTCATAGAAGGTCTGACCAGTGCACAAGACTGCCTTTGGGAGGTAACAAGATGGGATCCTGCGCCAGGCTTCACAGGTCCAAAACCAGCCTATGCAGTATTTGCCGCAGTCTTGGAAACATCTTCCATTTGGAGTATTCTACCAGCAGTTTTGTGCTTATCAAACCAAGAAAGTTCTCAGAAGATGACTTGACCTTTTGTTTCTGGTGTTTCTGAGAAATAAATGGCATGGGCATGTTTATTTAGATGTGTCTTAATTGTGTGGTAGGACAAGGAGGAATACATAGATGTAGTGCAGTTGATTTAGTTTACAGCATGGAAATCAACTTGGTTGGCAAGAGTGAGATCTGCAAAGCAGACAATTTGGAAAATTCAGAATGATCATGCTGTGAAGTGACTCTCTTGTTTTAGCCATACTGGCTATAGTCCTGTGTAGTAGGGAGCTAGACAAGTAGGTGTGCCCTTCACAAAACTTCCATCATGGAGGGTGAGCTTTTATGTTGGCTCAGGTAACTGCAGGCAGTGGAACCTGCCCCTGTGCCAGCTGTTCCTGGAGGTTGCAGGTGTTTCTGGATGTACTGTCAGCATGTGTCTTCCTGGCAGAGTACAGCTCCACAGTGTTTTTTGTGGTGTTAGGTAGCTTCTGCAAAAGTTGCTTGCTTAGGCAGAATCTGCTCAATTACAGAAACAAACCTGACCTGCAACTGTTACATTATGTCAGTAGCATCCGCTGCTAGTCAACCCTTTATTGCCTAAGTGGTTATCACAGCAGCATTTTTGTTCATGCTCCTTAACTTCACTTCTAAACAGACTGATGATCAGTATGTCTCTTAAAATACTTCCTTCTAGGGCCAGGAAGCTCTCCACACTGACTCCTTCTTCACTAAAAAACTGGATCAATCTTGTTGGCTGGAACCCGCTCACCTTGTTTAAAAAGGGTGAATAAATCTTACTGCGGCTCGAGTTAGGCTGACAGTTTTCCTGAAGCAGGCAGTACCTTGAGGGGCTATTGATTTCTTGCTTGTATGACCAGAGGTTTATCATGGGGTACCTCTTACTGGGAAGTTTTTTACTAGATGCATGACAAGGGGATAAATCTGAAACACCTTGCAGAGTGTGGAGCAGGTGCAATACCATATTAAATAGTGAATATTGAGTTAATTCTCGCTGTTTTATAGGAGTGTGCGCACATCGCATCACACACTCTCTGTCGCTTGGGGAAGTGAACTATTTGCATACGGTGCTCCGTAACACCTCCGAGCCGCCAGAGGGAGCCCGAGTGCTGGGCAGGTCCGCGGGCTCCGCCACACCCCGGCGCGCAAGCAGACGTGTGAGCGGGGGTGTGGCGGAACCCGCGGCCCAGAGGTAAAAGGCGGCGGAGGCAGGGGGTGTTCTGCTGGATAGTGTTTCCTTTCCCGTGGGGCTTCCCCAGCCCACCACATCCCTCCGACGGCCCAGCCGATGCTGGCGCCGTCCCGGTTTACGACCCTCATTCCCTCTCTCTTCGTGCTCCGACCCAGCCTCGCCATGAGCAGCGCTACCGGTACCGTCACCATCCATCAGCCCCTCAACTACCGGGCGGGCGCCCGCGTTCATCCCGCCGACGGAGGGCAGGCTGAGGAGGTGTATGAGCCGGCCACAGGTACTGCCCCGCTCTGTCTGCTTGGGGTGTGGGGGGGTTGAGCCTGCGCTGAGACGCGGGGTCGGTGCCCGGAGTTGCCCCCTTGTATTTGCCTGCAAGGGTCGGACACCGTCGGC